GCATAGGCATAGAACCACCTTTGTGTCATTGTTTTATCTTTTAAGGGGTCTGGGAAGAGGAGTGAATAACTGGAAAAAAATGCCTTTTTGTTTCTGAGACCCCTTCTTTACTCTGTGGTATGAGGGCAGAATCTCCTTCCTGCACACACTGTGCAGACATTGGGGTTCCCACACTGTGGGCTTTGAGGCTACAGTGAGTAAAAACAAACAAAAAAAAAAAGTGCAAGAACTATGGAAACCACAGGTACAGAGCATCTCTCCCTTCACCACAAAATCAAGGAATCGATCAACCTGAGACTGGTAACTTCCTAAGGAAAGCTGGCAGAGGGTGGTGGGTTGGAAACCTCTTTCCTGGCCTTGCAGTTTGGATGCTGCTATCCTACGATTTCTCCCTGCTGCCTGGCTGTTGCATTCACAGGGGCAAGTGGCTGCTCTGTTAGCCTTCAGCTGCACAGGGAGTTCCTGAGCACCAGTCCTTGCAGGGCTTTTTTTTTTTTTTTGGATGCAGGGGCCACCTCTGGCTGAGCACTAAAAGAAGTGTGGCGATGGAGCATGCCAGAAGATGAGTCAGGGTTATGATGTTAACTCCAGAGAATGGGTCCCACTGCAGTATTTATTTCCTGTGTGCTCGTGGCAAAGCCAGGTAAGGCCTGGATCAAAGAAGGGTAAAGGCACATGAAACGGAGACTAGCTAGGAAGGGAGACACTCTTTTATAAAAGAGTGGGATCCTCAAAACCCCTGCCTCACTCATTGGATTGATAGGTGCCCAAGTTTTTGCCGTTAAAACTTCATAGGCACATAAAGATCTCTGGACACTCGCAACTAAACCCAACCTGGATTTTCAAATGAAGCGTTTAATCCCCTACCTCCCCTAAGAAGCTCACCAAATATAGACTACCAGAATAGCCTAATAGAGACACATGAAATACAGCAGCCAAGCCTCACTGACTTAAAAGTTTACCTAGTGAGGATGTTGGCATCTCTGTATTCAATGACTTGGTAATTAGAACAGTAATTCAGGACTTGAAATCAAGGCTCAGCTCTTGCTGTCCTCAGGTAGCTCCTTTTGTCCTAGGCGAACACCCAAACTGCTAGGCTGTCAGGAGGAAGGGAAACGTGTGCTTGTTCTCTAAGCACCCTTTTGAGGCCCTGCCGGTCCAAAAAAAAAAAAAAATCAAGCTTCATCGGGCCAAAAAGTAAGCAAGTGGGAATGTGGCTCTTGAATGCCTGCACGAACGCTGTTCACCTGGCACAAGGAGTCGTGGGTATTATCCGCGAGAACTGTTCTTACGTCGAAATATTGGGGATTGTTAAGTACTATAGAGCTAAAAAACTTAAAATACACCCCTTTTGCAGTGTTTTCTGTTGCTTGCCTGTTTCTGTTTGTTGTGTTAATGCTTCTCCCTTCTATTTCTTCAACACTGCTGGGAGCTTACATTTCCCGAGCCTTTGGGAGCTGGGCATCTGGGGGCTAGCCTGAAGAAGCCCCACTTTTTGGTGCTTAAATTCCTTTGTGGACTCAGTGCTTTGTTTTTACCTTAAAAAGGGGGGGGAGAGCATAGCCCTACCTCCCAAAGGTGTTGTGAGGCTAGATAAAAGTAGGATCAGCATAGTAATGGTCAGAAAAGTACCCTAGATAGTTATTAATAAAAAATGGAGATTATTTGTCTAAAGACAATGTTGAGGTTTGTGTGAAAGGAAAGTCGTTACTTAACAGAAGCTTTTCAGGGAGCTCTTGAGGAAGCAGAGAGGAGGGCAAGTTGCCTTTTGAGATGGGAAGATGGCGGGAAGGAATGAATGCATGAAGTGGTCAACATCATTGAGATCAGAGCAGAATGTGACCTAACGTTTATATTTGCATATTTTGTTGTCTTTTTTTGTACTTCCTGATGAAATTTTAAAAATATCCTGACACAGTACAATGCAGTGTTTATAATAAACACTCAAAAGCACTTGCTTTAGCAATGAGAAATGACTTGGCTTACTTATTCATAGGAAAGGGTAAAAGACACGTATTGTTTTTGGAACAAAGTGCTTCAACCAAGCAAAAACCATGGTATTTAAAAGAGCCTGTGAGAAACAAAGCAGTTAAAATGTCCTGAGGTTATACTACTGGCATATTTCATTCTAAAGAGTGTATAAAGATACACTTAATCTTGCACATGGGATTGGGCAATGGATTTAGATAGCTACAGGAGTGTTTTATTTAAATCCATTTGAAGTTTGCAACAGGACAAAAGATTTTGGAAGGGGAAGTTAAAATAAACAAAACTTTTTGTAAGTAATAGGTAAAATGTCTTGTTTGTATCTCTCACTTGCAGGAACTGTTAATGGCAGCTATGTTTGTTTGAGCAGTCAGGGTCCTGAACAGTAGACAGCATAGTGGACTTCCTTAAAGACTGTCCTCCTGTATTGGTTTCTTTTAATCTCTCGTAGCTGCCTGTCCTCTCCTTCTAAAGCCAGTGGAGCTTTGCAGCCATGAAAGGAGCCCCCATCTCCTCCTGCCTGTCAGTGCCCAGGCGACAGCACTGCTGTCTGTCTTGGCACACGTGTAGTTATTTGACTACACAGGAGCCAGTGCAGCAGAGAACCAAGGTCTGGGCCCAGCACGGGTTATGTTTTTTTTTTCAATGAGATCTCAATCATGCAAAAGTAGCATGCAAAGATCCAGTAAGCATGGAGGCTTGAATCCTGCTTAGTTTATTTTTAGGGGCTGAAACTCATTCTAGCTTGGATAGCCAACAGAACGCTCTTTCTACTAATGTAAGCACTAAGCTGAGTTGTCTGGTGTCTAGGCTGCAGTGCTGCATTGTAAGTGTCATACAAAAAGTATTTGAGTTTGTGTGGCCAGCAGCGATGGGTATATTGAGAGGAGCCACGGAGTCTACATTCAGAGAAGAGAAAGCTCCTTCATGTACTGCTGTGGCTCTGTAGAGGCTTCAGATGCAAACTGAGTGTCATGATGGATCAGTGCACGAGGCACAGAGGGAAATAGTTTGGTGAATCTGTCTTCAGACAAGGGATGAATTTCTCCTGCCCAGCATCATGTGTTTCATTTGCATAGAACCAATTTATTCAGTTTTGTGTAAATAATTAAAATTTCCTTAAAGTTAAAATCTACTTAAAACAGGAAATAATCCTGTTGACTGCAGTGGGAATAGTATCTGGGAACAGCTGTGCAGGGACTGAAGCAGTCAGGATCGGATCCCGAGATTAATATTTCCACTAATGCAACCATAGGCTTATCTAATGTCTAACTGATGTGTTCTTTCAAACAGATACTAATTTTGTCTTGGGTAATGCCCAGATAGTGGATTGGCCCATTGTGTACAGCAACGATGGATTTTGCAAGCTATCAGGATATCACAGAGCAGAAGTTATGCAAAAAAGCAGCACATGCAGGTATTTGAGAACAGATTTATTTTCTGTTAAACAGCTTGTCGTGTTGTGCTTGTTGCTTGAGGGAAAAATAATCTTTTTATTCCAGTTTTGTCTTTGATCCCTGGGGCTGCACCTGTCAATTATGCTTTGCAGGTGAAACAAAATCAAAGAAGGGCTATGTCTAAATAGGCTCTCTTCATACTGTGAATAAATGGCTTTGTGCCTTTGCCTAGTATCTGACTGAAATTCCTTGCTTTATTTGCAGTTTTATGTATGGAGAGCTGACAGACAAAGATACAATTGACAAGGTCCGGCAAACATTTGAGAACTATGAGATGAACTCCTTTGAAATCTTGATGTACAAGAAGAACAGTAAGTAGTTGGTTTGTTTGTTTGTTAATGTAGGTATGTAAAATTGTAATTGTAAAATTATAGTGTAAACTGCTGTCTGTCAGCCTGGAGAACTGTGATGTTTAATTTAAGGTAAAATAAGGCCTAGTTCTCTCAGTTAACATACAAGGGAAGACCAAGTATGCTGGGGATAAGAATCGCTCACAGAGGTAGCCGAGGTCTCTAGTTTGTTCTGATGTTTAGAGCAATTTGCGTGTGACGTTCTAAGACAACGCTGTTAAGGTTCCATCGGTAGTAGTAATACCTGCGGTAGGTTTGTGCAAATAATTTTTGTGTTGTCACAGAAAATGTGCTTTTTTTGAAATTTGGTATAACAAAGCTGGTATTTAAATGTAGTTTTGGAACAAAAAGAACCCATCTTTTATTGTAGAAGGTGAACTACTTTCCTTTTATTTATTCAGACGAAGCTGTCTTTCATTTTGGACAAAACTATTCCCCAGCTGGAGTAGGAAATTGCTAGGAATTTCAGTCTGTGACTGCACATGTTAGCAGATTAACTACTTTTCCAAAATTTGTTGTCCCACTCTAGTGTCGACTGACTATCTTATGGCACAACTACTTTCATCTACCAAACGTGACCTGAAAAGCACATCCATTAGGATCTTCAGCCTTGCCAAATGTAAAGCTAAAAGGGTGTGTTCTGTAACTTTTCTTCTGCTCTTAAAGATTTTTGCCTTCTGACCGTGAAGCTGCTAGTATCTGTCCATGGGGAGGGTACCCTGCAGGAGTATCCTGCTAGCAGCTGCTTCTCACTTCAGCTATGATCAGTATTGCAGTAGGATACAATAGTGGGCAGAGGGGACTTTAACCACAAAGTATAACATGAACTGCTGCAGTGCAGTTTTTCAGAGTTAACCTCATTGCTGTCCCTTAGTTACTCTTGGAAGGACTGGCTTTCTGAGGAAAGGGAATCCAGTCTCCCTTTGTGTGAAGTCCTTGGTCTTTCTGTTGACATGGCTCCAGCTAGTATTGACTGCTGGAGTCTGGTGAGAGAAACACAAGTAAATCGTGTAAGCTACTGAAGTAAATCATTATGCATGCTAGTGCTGATCCATGCGGAGCTGCTCGTTTTCCAACGGAATGAATCTGTTCTTTTAAGAACTGGTGGTGCCAAAGTACATGTAACTGGCTTTTGCCATCATTTAGGGAAAAGAAATCTGTAAGCGATTTTGGTTTCCTCTCTCTTCTGGTCTTTTTCTTCTCTCTCTTTTTCACCTGTTCAAGGCATCCTGACCTCTGACACTGTGCTGCTGCTCAGGGCTTTTCTGGGGTGCAGCTTTGCTAGTTCAGCTCATTAGAAAAGCTGTATGCACTAGCTGAGTGGCTTTGCTTTGTGCTTCTTTCCCTCTAGTGTCATCTGCCTCCAGTGGTTTTACCTATTTCCTAAAGCTCATTTCTGATCCTAGCTCAGTTAGTGGCCATCGGGACATATCCATCCAAAGTCAAGAAAATAAGCTGTTGTCATGGGATCTGGAATTCTCTCTTTGTTAGCAGTGACTTGGCACCAAGAGGCTATGCAGCTACTCTTCTGCCACTGCCGCAGCATATGGCCTGTAGTAGAGCCTGGGGCCTCTGTCTTTCACGCAGATTAATAGCAAGGTAACTGTGCAGTGAGGAATGTTTCCTGCCCTGCTGTCCGCTTCCCCGAGGAGAGGCAGCCTAGAACAAAGTCCAGCTGTGCAAAAGCTGTGTTGTGCGACATGCCAAAAAGCAGAGCTATGATAGTTCTGCTATGTGCCTAGGTGGTCATGGGAAGAAAGAAGCAGAGAGCTTACTTTTAAGTGTAACAAAACACAGTGCTGTTATGTTTGTTGGATTTTCTGCGTTAGACGTGCCTTACCTACTATTAGAGATACTCTGACTAATAACAATAGAGATTAGTAACCAAAAAATACCAAAAACGGGAAGTCTTTGAGCTTTTTTACAGAATAAGCCACATCATAGAAAATACTATCTTATTCGCCAGTCATTTTGCACCCGGGCTGCTGATCTCTTTTGTGTTTGTGGTCACATAACCTCAGCCTGCAACTACAGCAGTAACCTGCTTGGGCAGCAAACCAGCCACTTTCAACCTATTCTCATATTAAGGACTTTGAAAAGGCCCCTGAATTTTGTTACAGCGACACCTTTTTTCTGCTCTTCATTTGTTTTTTTTCTCCTCTCTATTCTCCCCAGTTCTATTTCTCTTCTTCAATTTAGCCAATAAATTAAACAAGAAATATATTTTTATTGCTCTTTACCTGCCCCCCTCTGTCCCTTTAAGCTAGCAGTCATGAAAAATGGCAGGCTTTCCTTCCATTTTTATGCTGCTGAATAAATGAGACATTTTCCACAGCCTATATGTTTAATGTACTTCTGACTGTTTTAATAATACAGTCTATCTATTTGGAAAGAAAGAATAAAGCAAGAGTTTCAGGTGAACTAAATAGATACTGTTAATGCAGGTCAATCTTCATTTTGTATGTTTATGAACAGCAATCCTCTCTCTTTCTTTGTCTGGGTAAGAATTATGTCCTGATCCTGCGCTAGACATGTCAACAACAGTTTGAGATGTTTAATAATACTTCTATAAGTGATACGCGTTTTTGACACAGCACTCTCCATGGTGGTGACCCCGTGCTAGTATTTACTTGTTTGCACTTTAACAATAATCCATCCAGGTGCTGATTGGCACAATAGGTCCGTAAGCTTCATAGTGATTCACAGTATCGACACTAGAAATAAAATCGGCTGTAGTACTGAGAAAAAAGATGGTATTTTCTGCCTTCATAGGCAGAAAGGCATAGGCCTTCATTTTCTGCCTTTACGTGTATGGATACTCTCTCTACTCTGGCCTCCTCTTTCTTCCTCCAGCCCTCACCCCTCCAATAGTGACTGTCTCCCCCTCTTTTCAGAACTTGGAATTAAGATGCAGTAGAGATTTCATGGATCCTTGTGCTGGACCTTTGATTTCTTAGCAGATATGATTATTGTTTTTGTTTGCTAGAGGAATTGCTTCCTAGAAGTCATTACCTTCAGGGTAACTGGCAGCAATTGGAACAAGCAGGTGCATAGCCACCAGGTTTTCCTCAGTATTGCCATCCCATTGCATTCAATGGGGATTCATGGTCATACCTGGAAGGAGACAAAGTGAAGACTTTGTTTCATATGTACTGCAAAATGTTAACAGACAGGTTAGCAGTAATTTCCATGTGAGAGTTTCAGTTCCGTTGTTTGATTAGATGTACTGTTTATGCCAGAAATATTGCTTATGTGGAAAATGAAAACAGTGCTGTGCCCTCACTGAAATCAGTGGAGTTAATGCTGCCTCACACCAAGGAAGGATACAGCCTGATGTATTCAAAGATTTTGTAGCTCGTCTTAGTTAATCTTAGCTTATAATAATTGATGCAGCTTTAGAAGTTTAATTTCTCTTCAGACTTTGAGTGCTGTTTTTTAGGTTTCTACACTTTACACTCATCCTTATAAATAAAAACGTCTGAGTAAATTAGACTTGGACTTTCACTGCCTAGTTTTGTGTCCACAGCATAGGTCTAGATTTCAAGCAGTGCAAAGGCAGGCCTCTTCCAGATGCCCTTGCTTCCGTTGCTGATGAAGCAGATTTTTAAGAATGTAAATTCACTCAATAAATTCCTGTCTACCACTGAAGAGATGGTGCCCGTGCAAAATCTAACCCTACCTTTCTGTGTAGTGTGAGATCATGATTCAGTGTAAGAGCACCTGAAGTAGGCTGCGCCCTTAAACCTGAACCACAACACTCGGGCTTGAACAGTGGAGCAGGCTGTGAAGAATATTTCCAGCTGAAATAGTGGTCTCCATTACCTGAACTTCCAGCTGCACAGGAGGTGTCTGTGAACATGTGTGCATAAAAATCCATGCAGCTTTACAAACAGCCTCCACATGCCCTTATCTTTGCAAAGACATTCCCATTGCTTATACTCTGTAGCAGTGCTGCAGAGATGCTTTTTTTTTTTTTTTCCTGAGGGGTTCTTTACAAGCCCAGGCAAGGCCAGTGGATGCAGCAGCTGAAGGATGGGTTGTAGGTGATTCCCTTGCATCCTGCGAAGTGGTTCAGATAAGCAGCAGCTCTTCTCCTAGTACATATGTTATGGTGAGGGTCCAAAAGGCTGAACTTCATTCCCAGACTGTGCTGGGGTTCACCTCTCTAGATCTCTGGGTGCTTTAATTTAATTAATAAATTTAATACTATGAAGGTTAAGGGGAGAAATTGTTTTGATTTTGTTTTGGGGTTTGGTTTGTTTGTTTATTTTTTCCCCTCACGTATAAGGAGGCTTGTAGGTGCCAAAGAATGGCAAATAGGCCCAGAATAATGATGTAGCAGACTCTACATGCGCTTATATTTGGGCCTGTTGTTTTCTACAGAGGAAGAAAAAAAAGAATCTTAATTTATACAGCACAAAATTTGCTTCAGAATGATAGACCTGTGATTTCCTGCCACTAGGGAGAGTTTCTCATAATTGATTTGGGTTAAAACAATTTATATTCATGTGCGCTGTGCCTCTAGTGTCTGCATATGGAAGTGCTTGGTTTATAAATCACTAATCCAAATCGTTGCATAGGACCAGAAGCAGGAAAGAAAGAGGGAATTATTGTAAACCTAAATCTGGCTCCGTATTTGTCAAACAGTATGTACACCTGCATCTCCTCTTCTGTGAAATCTATCTGTGTGAGTTTAGTTACCTTCGTGAAGGTCAGGCCAAAGTAGCTTGGTTTCATAAGACTGGTAATTCGTATCGATCTTGACAACTTCTAGTGTGTTCCCAAGCAGAGCTGCTGTCATCTCCCGAAATGTATTTAGTATGAGACTTTCCAATAATTGTCTTTAACAGAACAGGCGTGAGGTGGATGTGAAGAAGATCTCAAGACTTCTCTTCGTCTTCCCCTTCCTTATACTCCCCTCTGTTCTTCAGAGAGCTTAGAATCGGGTAAACCATATTGACGCAGTGCAAGGGCATGCTCCAAATCTTTTCCTCCTGTGTTGCTCCAGTGCGATAGGATAACCCCTGTGCCTAGCAATTCCACTTTTGGGGACTGAAATTGATTTTCTTTATCTTAACATGTAAAGGTCTGACCTTTAAAAGCTGTGGCTGTCAGAGTGTAGCAGCACCAGCTGCAAAAAACATGAAGGCAGCAGCTTTAAAGTGCTGGAAAATGTATCATAAGTCTGTCATTATTGGCGTAGCATGGTGAGCTCCTCCATACTGAGCTGGTTTGTTCTCGTTCAGTGCACGCTCACTGCTGAAAGGTAGAGTCTAGGGGAAGACTTTTGCTCTTTATGTTACTTGGTCAAATATCACTCATCTGTGCTCCTAGTTAAAATCTATGTGGATATAGCGACTTGCCTAACCTGTCTTGTCCATACCTAATTGGTTAGCTTGTCAGTTTGATATTGGACAAACTATTTGGCCTGTATGGGACAGAAAGAAACAATCTCATAATGACCTGGGCGTAAATGAAACTCCAGAAGGGGTGACTGCAGGGGTCAGCTGTGATCTTTATATAACTGAAATCCTGCTGTCTGCATCACTGCATATAGTAACTGGTGGAGACACAGCACATGCTGCTAACTTTTTCATTTCCATACTACTTGACTGTTTATGTTCAGGGCAATATCTGCACGATGATCATTTGATTGAAACATTATCAAGTAATACAGAGGCGGTGCTGCTCTGAGAAAACTTGCCCTATTCAGCAAGGACAGTGAAGACATCAGCTGAATTGTCAAACGTTTTTTTCATTGTATTTAGAAACTAATCTTGTTTTACTTTGGGGAAAGAGACGTTGCTTCCTGCAGTTTTATTTAAACAGCAGGAGTTTTGTGGTTTTGAAAAACAGCTGTTAATTTGACCTCTTTGATTAAACGATTCCAGGTATGGGGAAAGGGCACGTTTAGAAAGTGATTTGGATTTTCATTATAGCCTGTTTCTGGTTGACAGGAGGGAAAACTGAAGGAGGGTGATCAATACACTCAGTGATGCGCACAGAGGGAGGAGCAGGAATAGACTTCTAATATCTCATTTTCTTCGACATTATGAAAGATTCTGAGGATCTCAACCAAAGTCAAATGACATGTTAAATATTGGTGCTGCTAGCAAGGTGCAGAACATATCACTGTTGAAATACTCAGAACTGGAAAAGAGGAAAGGGAAGAGACAGCAGTATTCACATTACAGATGGGAAATGATCAGGTGCAGAGATATTTACTGTGCTAGTCTGGAGAAGATTTGGAACCTGAATGAAACCTCTTAAAATTGCTGTGCCTTTAAGGAACGCCCCTAGTCTTGTGCTCAGGCCACTGAAGACCATTAAGAGTTGCATCCCTTAATTCTAGGATTAGCTATGTAACTTTGGTACAACAGGAGAGGCTGGTCCTACAGGCTGCTGTCAAGTTTGTTGTAGATTTTCATCTCTTCCCAGTCGTTCGTGCTGCTTCCCCACCAACTTTGCTAGAAAAGGAACGTCATTTCAAAACTGGTCCTATTCCATTTCACTCTTGATTCCAAATCTAACAGAAGCCAATGTGGCTCACGAGTGTTTACTTCTTTGTTTGTGCACTGGCATTGTCTTTGAACTTCACCAGTGAGAGAGTTTGCCAAGACTGAACGCAAAATGTAAATGAAAGTAGTTGTATTGTTGGAAACGCTGATAAACAGTCTCTGTGTGGCTGTACATCAATGCACGCTGGGGGCATAAAGTGAAGTTACTCTTGTTTTGCTGAGAGAGCTCTGAAATATATGCCGCAATTTCCCTCACTGCCTGAATAACCCATAGACTGAATCTGAAAATCACATCTTTCATCAAAATAGGCTTGTTTGTGCCTCTTGCCAGTAGTGATTGTCTGGCTGAGCAGGGACATCCGCTTTGACACCAAGAATATGAGGGCTGCCTAAAGGAGGTTGAAATTCTAGTTTCCGACCTGATTTATAACTGGTTTATACTTAGAGCTTTCCTGTTTAATAGTTAAATAAACTGTTTAATGTTTAAAAAGTAAAATTCTTCTGATAATTAAACCAGTATGCAGGAAAAAAGTCGAGCACAGTCACAGCTTGGCTAAACCTTTCAGTGTGTTCCCACAGCTCAGATCCCAGTCCTGTTATGACTAAGCTCCTGGTTGCAGAGCACTGTGGAAAACCCACATAATCCAGCACTGTGGGCACTCACCTCATGATTAGATTCTCATATCCACTTATCCCCTATCCCCGAAAGAGACTGACAAGATAGTGGGGAATACACTGCAGGGGAAAATTCTTAGTAGCGTTGGGGGCAGATAGGATGGCCTGACAGAATTTTAGATCTACTTATTTACGCTGTTGCTCTGTTACTAGGTGGATCCAAAACTGGAAGGTGGTTTACCCAGACCATGTGTGCCACCTTGGTTTAACGTTCTGTCCTGGAACATCCCGTTTGTTGCCCTCTGGAAATACTGAGAGTACCCGAATAGCAGCAGGCAACAGAAGCCTCTTCTGCTTTTGGCTAGCAAGGAAATCTGGCTGTTTCTTGTTGCCAGCGGGCAGATCACTAACATCTATAGCTAGTTTTGAGTAAAACAGTGTTCATTTCTCCCTTTCTTTTTAATATAAATAATGCAGCACAGAAGTAGTAGTTGAGGGAGTCAGAAGGTGGGAACCGTGTCGATACAAACTCCTTGCTCTGCAGCAGCCTTCTACAACTTATCAGGAAGAGTCTTTCCTCTTGCTGCATTCAGAACATGTTACAAAACTCTTGCAGTAGCATATCATACCATAAGCACAAAGAGAAGAGGGAAGCATGCATCTGAGTTGCCAGAATAAGAGGGTGAATTGTATTTTTTCTGTTTCTGTGATATGTGTACAGCATCTTCAAAAGCAAGATAAGAGTTGTTACAGCTATGAGAGGAAGAGATGATGCTGAGTATGTAATTCAGCTTCAGTGCTGAGAAGGTTAATATTACAAGCAGCCCATAGCAGAACGGCTGTCGCTTGAAGTCATAAAACAATATAAAGTCTTTTTGGGGAGGGGAAAAAATTTATAATTGAAAAAGCTAGTACACGCAGGCTGTGGATGAAGATCCTGCCTGATTAAAAACCTATGGCATTAGTGGAGGGTGCTGGAGTGGGTAAAATAAAAAGTGACTGGGTGTCAACTGAGGTGGCTGTGCAAAGGCAAGATATAGATTTGTTCAGCCTGAGAATAGTTCACATATGACGATGGGAAGGACAAATAGGCAATTAGAAATGGAGACAGGTGATTTTAAGAGCCCCTGAGGAAGGGGAGTGTAGTGGGCATTACTGTCTTGCAAATCACTGTTGGCTTCTTTGCGGCAGAGTTTTCTAGGCTCGTTAACAAGTTAGTGATGATTTTACTGAGGCAGTTACTTTGCTGAATCTTTTGTTGCCTTTAGCAGTTTGTTTGCTTATATTTTATTGGAAGGGAGTGTTAAGGAACTTTAATTCTCTGAAAAATACATTGATCCCTGAATATATTTTGCTATGTGGACGTGATCCAGAAATGGCCATCAGTGATTCCATCTGGTTTACTCTGCTTTTTGCGTGGAGGCCTCCATGCATCAAATACCCTACTGTTTATAAAGGTGGCTGTACATATGGCATAGAAGCTCATCCAGGGTTTGAAGCTGCCTGTGCTATGCACACGCAGTGGGATGTGTTAAGAATCAAGCTTCATTTGTGGAAGCTCTCCATAGGTCTTGGAGATGCCCTGGCTTTCGGTGGCCAGAAAAGATTGATGAGCACAGAGGCTGGGAAACAGCCAGGTGAGGCACTGGTAGCAACGTGGTCTGTTATATGAATATAATTGGGAGAAAGCTGCCTTTGCTTGCTTTGAACAATAATTTGTGAACTGCCTGAGGGTTTCCTTGTGCTGCGTTGACAGTCGAGAAGAACAGGCGGTCCTTGTTCTTGGGTTGGACCCAAGAACAAGAGTTGGGTTCACAGACCCAGCTGTGTTCCTTGAGCCCTTCAACCTGCTTGTACTCACTATCTCTCTAATCCTATCACTAGTATCTTCTCAGTAGAACCGCCAGAAATATAGAAAGGCAGGGCTGACTGACAATTTCCCTCCTCAAGGTGACCTGTCAAGGTGGATGTCAAGGAAAATTGACAGTGACATCTGGGTCGTTATCAGGGTGCATATTTTTCTGTGATGTACAGGCTCTAATCCCTTAAGGAGTTTTCATTAGTAGTTCATCCACTGAAGTAACTGGAAAAGTATAGCTATATGCAGTATAACTTAGCATCATTCACAGCCCGTGGCCTGGTCCTGATGGCTTGTTTGATCCTGAATTCAGTGGAATTTCTCTTGCTTTACACTACAGCAAGTGTGAACAGGCTCGGAAAAGGGCAGACAGAAAGGCAACTTGCAAAGAATTTCCCTTGCATCCTCCCTTGCACGGGAAGGTCTGCAGGCTAGGCCAGAGCTTGCAGAGCCCAGCTCTTGAAGCTGGGGGTGGGCTGGCATAGCTGTTAAGGGATCGTGCCCCCTGGCTGCAGGTAAACATAAGGTCAGTCAAACTGGCTACACTCTTAAGCTGAGGAACTCTGTATTATGATGATATCTAGGCACTCTTGGCCTGTCCTCAAGTCTTGCAAAGAGCTAGCAAGACTGTGTTATGTGCACCCTTTCAACATACATGGGACTCTTATCAGGACATCTCAAAGCACTTCATTCATGTATTTGCTTTGCAGATGAAGCCCAGAAAGAGCGAGTGATTCCCTAAGATTACAAAGCTAATCAGAGGCAGAGCGGAGAACTTAACTAACGCTTTTGTCAGCTGGTTTGTCATTTTACCTAATGATGCAGATGCAAAAAAAACATTGAAAAATCAGCCATCGGTAAATGTTACTTCAAGTGTAAACACCTAAACTACCACATTTACTGTTGCACCTACGATTGACCAACTTCTTGTTATGTTTGTTTACAGGAACACCTGTCTGGTTCTTTGTGAAAATTGCTCCGATTCGAAATGAGCAGGATAAAGTGGTTTTATTTCTTTGCACTTTCAATGATATAACAGCTTTTAAGCAGCCCATTGAGGATGATTCATGTAAAGGTTTGTCTTTTTCACAATTACATATCTTTGCTGCTTCTGTTCATTTGCCCTGGTCTTGAAATAGCTCAAGTCCTCTAAGTACCAAAGGCAAAGAATTAGACCTTAGAAAGCAACCTGTAGCTATGCCACCAAGAACAGTGTCTGTGCAAGAAATGGTTGCTGGCTTCCTAAGCAAATTGCCTCTGGCCTGCCCTGGAAAGGGTGATCACCAAATAAATCTGCAAGTGCTTCAAGAATTGGCATTTGCTTAGCGAACAGCAGCTGCACTTCCTTTTAATTTCATTATTAATCCACACTCCATCGTGGCTTTCAAGCAATCACAGTGTTGCTGAAAAGCCTCTGATATTAGAGGCAACTGAAGAGTCTTGGGCCCTGTCCGAATTATGCCTGACACTTTATGCAAAAATGGAGGTATTAACCCTGTCTGAGTCCAGCAAAGGTTTGAATAATTTCATTCTGCTTGGCTTGACTTTACTTACCGTTATTATGGTGTTCTTTATACTAAAATTTTGGACTAGTTTCCTTTGACGTCAGTGAAAAGATTCCCATCGCCTTAAGTTGAATCAGGTTCAAGCTGTCCTGGTGAGTGAAGTAGCACTGCTGGGTTTTGCTGTTAACTCTTTGACTTACACCCTGAAAACCTGGAAGCAAATTTGGCTGTGAGAGAGGCATAAACTTGACAGGTTCAGATTCTGTCAAAAATAGACCTTTTGTACCCATATGGAGAATTAGAGACTTAAGTCTCTGGGGAGAAAAGGACGTAAGTTCTCCTGTTGTTTGCATTTTTGTAGTATTTAATAATATTTGTAGTATTAAATTAAACAGGAAACTTACTGTGAAGGTGAACTGATTTACATTTATTCTGAAAATGTTATTCTTTAAAAATGCAGTTTCCCAAAGTGGAAACACCTGTTATCATGAAAAAGGAAGTGCTACCTTGACAAACCTACCGTCTTGCAAGCTGTATGGGTTATTATTATTATTTTTTTTCTTATTCATGCTATTTGTTTGGTTTTTCACTGCTTTAATAAAACTAAAAGATGTATCTTGTCAGAAAGGTTTGGTCTACAGTATTTTTTCCCCACCTATTGGTCTTCACTGTATCCTGATGAGGACTGACAACAAAGATAAATCCCTGTGATGCAGTAAAGCTGGCTCTTGTTTATTTGCTGTGAGTGAAAGAAGCCCTTGCTTCATTTAGTCAGTTGATCAGCAGAGCTTTCGTTCAGGAATGATAGCTGTGCCTTTTCCCTTTGCTTCTACAGAAGATCCTTAATGCGATAGTGATCTGCACTCTCAGGAAAAGAGGTTGTCCTTTTACTTTGAGCACAAGGACGCGTTTGAACTTTTTTGTTTGTCAGAGAACTATATTGAAGGAAGAAAACGCTAATAAAATCTTAAAAAGCCTGATCCTTTGTTGGATCTTCAGATCATGCTATTCTTACAGTGATTATGATAATTCTTAGCAGTTTTATACCTAAAGCAATGTAAGGACTAAGCCTATCTGTAAGTGGGCTAACTTGTAGAGGAGTTTATGTACTAAGCGAAATTTTTTCATCTGGCCCATGGAAACTGGCTAAGTCACTACTACTGCAAAGGCACAGGCAGTGAAAGCAGAAGAGCTGGACATATTATTTAGAGGCCATTGATTCACAACTCTGTACTCCTTCCCTGAATGGTGCTGCTTTATACACGGAACAGTTTATATACTGAATGAGTCTTCCAAGTGCTGCTTCTGAATCTCCTAAAATTAACGAAGTTTCATGCTGGTAGGGTTCACTATTGCTACATGCACAAATTGGAAGATGATGTAAGTGAAATCGCACATTCTGTTCTATTCCTTATCTCCTACTCCTTTCCCTCTTCCATAAGTTACTCCCTATGGGCTAGCTTGGAATTTTATTGCATGCATCTCGGGAGGTGATATTACGTCAGTCATTTGATGGCTAGATGATCAGTTCCTTAGGAAAAAGAGCTACCTTGCCAAACAATTTAAAGAGATGGTCATGCATGTACGATTCTTTTATGTCAGATCGCATTGTGCTATCAGATACTGCAAGGGAAAAAAGACAGCTCTGGAGTGTTAGACAACTGATTGTCTGTAATGAGCTAAAGTTCATGGAGGAAAAAAGGAAAAAATTTTTGGAAGTAAGATAAAATTGTTTATTTCGTAGCTTTTTCTAATAATCACTGTTTTTATAGACCTCAGCTTTGACGAGGGCATATTCTTTGCACCGTGTACAGCATTACGTAGCAAATTCATAACATATTTTTGAAAGATACACTTTTTGTAGAAATATTTCTCATATTCTGGAAACAAATGAACTCCCAATCCAAAAATCTGAAACAGGGCACTTACAGATTTATTATGTTTGATTTAAATAAATGAAAACTGATTGTTGGATCAATTCTCTTTTCCTCTTTTCATCTCAATCAGCATTTATCAACTACTTTTTGTTTACTGTGAATATAAAAATCAGTTTATTTAAACAAAATCAGTTTCACGTGTGTGTTTTGGTCAGTACCTGACAGGCTGCCCTGCATATGCAGATATTTTGTTAAAGTGTGTGCTGTTTGCATAGCTGCAGATGGACATGGTCTGAAGTATTTGAATTTTTCAAAGTCAGTGTCTGTATGTCTATGTAGAGAAAAATGTTCTGTTGTGCAAGAACATGGCCAATTTAAAGAGCAGCTAATCTGTTAGACTGAACCTGCTTGGCTGTGCTATATCTCAGTTTTCTATCCCCAGCTGGTAATTTCAAGCATGATTGTTCGGCTACAAGTGATGTAGTGACTTGTTGAGTGAAAAGAGTGTTGAGCTCTAATGATGGATGATTGACTTGTATGCAAAAATTAATATGCATCTCTTATCCAAAGATGACTCAGAGAAAGATGGAAAGTCCTGGTATCATTTTTCATTCTTAATCTTTTTTATTAATAATGTCAGACATCGGAATAGATGAAACAAATAATATTTCTAAAGTCAAGTACAACGGAGACTTGTAGTGTGGTCTCATTTGTTATTTGATTCAGATAATTTAAAAGAAGTTTATTTTATGAACGTCATGGAAGTTAAGTAAATTTGCTTTTAAATGCAGGTGCATTAAAAATAGCACATTCTAAATAAAACTACTTAAAAATAGTGCGTCAGTGATGTTGATGATATTTTTTAAAACTCTTTCCACTCTTTTTCCCCTTTAAAACATTCAGGAAAATATAGGTTTACTTGAATAGGCAAAATCAAGTTAAGTCATTGCTAAATTTGGCTTCTAAAGTGGTAGGTGACCTTCTTTGCTGAATTTTAGAATATGTGCTATATCTGGAAGTGATGCATTTTATCTGTATATGGTTTTTTTTCTCAGAGATAAAAACACACCAAGCACCAGATGTTTGAGAGCAGTGTATAAAGTGGAGTATATCATTTTATGACCACAGTAAATAGACTCTATGCGTGCAATCTGAGTAGCTAGTAAGAAGTTTGCCTTAACGGGCTTTGCATGTGTGAATACAACATGAACCATATTCTATCCTGCTTCATAAAAGTTTGGAAATTATGTTTTGGATCTTATATTTTTGCTTTCATTATTTTATAACAAACACGTGCTATCATATTCAACATCACTGAACCATATGGGAGAAAGATTGCTAGCCTCTTAGCTCTTGTTACCTCCCGTGTTTTGTAGCAATCATCAGTTATCATCTCCTCTGCAGAAGCAGCTTTATTTCATTTAGCAGCTATGTTGTCCTGTGCATCACAAGCAGGGCTATGCAAACGTAGTATTTTGATTGCTGCTTTCATTTTAATTCAGGGATACTCCATCCTAGTTTTTTTCTTTTTTTTCTCTTTATTTCCCTGTTTTTTGTTGCTGTCTAAATTTTTGTTCTGTTTTTAAAGATGTATTTATGTGAATAGAGCCAGTATTTGAAATATTAAATTTAAATTATGCTTTACTTTCATCTAGATGAGTTGTTTTCTTAGAAAAGGAAACAAATGAAAGGCGAGTGATAAGAATATTAAAAATCTTGGTATGCTTTTTCAGTCCAAATGGAAAAATAAGACCATTTTAGTCATGAAGTTTCAAAGGGAAGGAACATTAAGACTGCAGAGGCATGATGGATGTAGGCAGCAATCTTTGATATGTATTTGATATGCAAGAAAACAAAGGTGATTTGGGTAGAGGTGAGAACAGCTGGAATGCTGATTTGCTCGCACTCCAACTTTTCTTTGGGAAAGCAGGCTGTCTGATTGCTTGTAGCAATAGACACCTGAGCAGACTAACTTATTCTCTAGCAGGCAGTGGCTGCTTGTTCTAACTCCAGGGATTGTGCAAGTCATGGATCAGCAACCTCATAACAAGGGTTCTGTAATTCCCACAGTTCTTAACGGTTGAATTTGCGAGTCACCATGATCAAATGGAAGAGAGTGGTAGGAAAGAAACCACCTGAAAAATAAATTGTTGTTGTGGGTTGAGTATCAACAGATCCTGCTCTTCTCAAAATGCAGAAAATGGGTTTCTTCAGCTGAAGAAGATCATTAAATGAAGCTTCCTATCTTAAAGAAAGTCCTGATGAGTTAAATATCACAATGACATATTGTGCTGCCATATTTCCTCATGAAACAAAGTTCTGGGGATAGCTTTTGTCCCTGTGGCAGGCATCTAGCATGTCTGTCATCTTTGATGTTTTCACGAGCAATTTCTGTTCAGCTTTTTGCAGTGAAATGCTGAAAGACTCTAAGAGCACCATATCGTGCAGGACAGCTGAAGTCAGTGTTCTTCATTTTGAAAGTGCTTTATCCTTTTGAAGCAGAGAATGTGTTAGTGCATTCTGATTGCTTTGCAGAAAACATGCAGGGAGAGTATTAAAAAGGGAGACCGATTAATGGTAAAAATGGGTTAGAATCTAAGACAGAGGCACAAGTAATCACAACTGGGGGTGGGCATGCAGCTGTTATGTTTTCTTCCTGATTCCAAGCATTCTCTGATGCTATGTGAGCTCTTGACTTTTCGAGGAATATGTACGCCTGTGAGAATCAAATATGGTCATTTGTTTTAAATTTAATTAATATTTTCTTTATTTCTAGGGGAAAATAATGGATGTAGGGATATCACCAAGAACTCCTACTTCATATCGTCTTGTCCCTAGCCCTATATTCCTACACATTTCTGGAACCTAGTTTTTGACTGTGGAAATCTCCATCTACTTTCTGTAACCAGCTCCATGACCTTTAGTATTTAATGTTTATGTTCTCTTCTGTGGCAATTATGTGACCTATCTTCACTGGATAATTACCTGACTTCTTGTAGGCTGTGTCTTCCTTCAGGCTTCTGAAAGGACAAATTGCAATAAATTCAACAGGGACTGCTACCTTTTCAGCAGTGTTAGATAAGTTATCATTCAATAGGATTAATACTGTCTTTCTCTCTCTCTTTTTCATTTTCTTGTGTGGTACCACCATAATTGTACTTTCTTTCTTCCTTTTATTTAGAAGAAAAAAAAAAAAAGGGCAATATGAGGAGAGTGTCCTGCCCTAAAGGTGAGAGTCATAAACCTGGGACATGGCCACGGTGATATGAGTATGTTTCACTGTATTTCAGGCATTTCATCACATAATGGAATGTGTAATTTCAAACTGGGCTCCCAGGTGCTGTACCCAACATACAGAGGGAGTTAAGGTTTATTTTTCCTAGCCTGCTAGATGCAGGTCAGCACTGATGCAAAAGCCGTGTAATCATCTTGGAGAGGCACTGTGTCCAACCTAAAAAGCCCTACCTCTCAGCAGTCTCTTGCCTGTACAATTACATTGTTTCCAGATCAGAGTTTGGAGGACATAGGTAAGAGATCTTGTGCTGATTTGTGGAACACTTCATTTACATATCACTTAGGCACCCACAAATGAGATCTGCAACACACGGGGCATGGCGGGTGCTTATAGGAGGTGCTGAGGACAGTGGAATAGGTTAAGCTCTAGCTTTCAAAAGCAGATGACTCCTGGGAGGGGTGAGGAACCTGCAGATGCTCAGCATTCGTAGCCACAAACCTCAGAGATGACTCTCATGGCTTTTGTGTAAGAAAGCTCAGGAGAGGAAAGGAAGCATGCTTTCTCTCCTCGCTCATTATGTTTATATCTGGATAGCTCAGCTATTAGAAAACTCAATGATACAAAGAAAATATATACTCGGAGTCTGTTCTCTGACTTTATTTGAATCGAGGTTTGAATCTTCCAGGAAAATGCTGTACCTATCAGGCTGTTCTGGGCTAGTGAAAATGGCTGTCCATATTAGTTGGTGTTAAAGATACCAGGCATGTGGTAAGGGAGGCTGGTCTGGAGTTCCCATACGAACCTCGAACTCTGTCGTTTGTTTCTTTCCAGGCCTTGCACTTGCAAGCAAAGCCCTTTTTCTCTAGGCTCAGAGCTGCACACGAAACCCTTTGCTTCAGCACCATGGTCAGCATTGGTGTGGCTAATCGTGTTCATATACAGTAAACACGCTCTATTTGTATCGCACATCTTTCACGTTTGGAAAATTGGGTTATTGTTTATATCCCCTTGGATATTTATATTGTTTATATCCCCTCAGTGCCTCGTCAGTCTACGTTTACATCAGTGAAAATCCACTGACACTGATAGCCTTCTCCCTCGCTCCTGTAAGACAAGAGTGACTCCCTGGAAGTAAATGCGGTAATACTGGCATAAAAGTTTCATCAAAGTGAAAGTTTAGGTTAGGACAAATTGTTGTAGCTGCATTAGCTGCCCAATGGCTATTCTGATTTATATTAACTCAAGATTGGCCATTATGAGTGGTTTCTCCCACCTGATCCATTTTTTTTAACCTCTACTGGCTCTAACAAGAAATTAGTAAGGCCTTTAGGCCTCAGCCTATTGGTTGTAGTTGGAGTTCTTCATGTACAGTGGAGAAAGAATACTCTCTATTAATTTATCATCATAAGGAGGAAAAAAAAAAAAAGACTTCTGTGGAGATGTATTGTGAAAAATCAAGGGCTTTGAGTCGGGTGTACAGCAGATATTAGCCGACCTCACTTTTGGACTTGTCAAGGTGATTTGTTTCTCTGAGAAATACTCCTGTATAGAAGCTGAACTTGTATGAACTTTCCAGGAAATATCTGGCCTGGATGGAAATCACACAATCCACTTGTTGCTGAATACTGCCAGGAGTTAGCTAATTCTACTCAGCTCAGCTACTAAATCACTAGCTCCAGATTTCCTTTAAAATGTGCTTTAAGGCCTAAGAAAATATGTGATTTTGTTCTTGTTTTTGGAGATGTATGGTAAATTTGGTTCTTCCATTTAGTAATTGGATTTTTTTTCATATTTTTAAAGGAGAAAAAGCCAAATTGCCTTTTCAGGTCTGCCCTGGGAGATTTTGTGCAATAGCAGATTCATAGAATTTGCTTATTTTTGATGCTCATCTCTCAGGTTAGCAAATATGTTCCTGCAAACTCCCATCACAGAGGTGTAAACAAGGATATGTTCAGAGTACTAGGCAATATTTTAACCACCCAAATCCTTGTACTTGTCATAGATAACTTGCAGGCTAAACTCCAAACTGGTCTATAAAAACAGTCACTCCTAATAGTGTCATTTGTTCTGGTGATGAACCCGTAATGTGGAGCGAACTTTTTCCAGAAGCAGGATCCCATTGAGAGCTGAATCTGCAAAGTGCTGATCATCCTCAGCTGAATTAGGAGGTGAGATTACTCAACAGTTCCTAGGTGGTGCTAGCATTTTCTAAGGTTGGGACCAAATGCACTGATACTTTTCTTTTAGAGTACCAGAAATATCTGGATGCATGTTCTGGCTGACTTTCTGTTACGGCAAAGTACTGTTCATAAAGATCATACTTACAACTAGCTCTTGTGACTGTTATTCAAGGCCTTCTTTTTGAAGGGTATTTGAAAGGACTGTAAAAAATATTCTGAATTAAAATTCAGCACGAGTTCTCTGACAGAATCTACTAAATGTTTTATTAGTTGAGAAATCCATATTCCCTGTTTTTGTTTAGAGAGAATAAAATAAATGATTTGGTTTCATTTCATCTGTTCTGCTTTTAAATATGTGATGTCTGTTTCTCTGTTTATACGAGAGCTATGCTCAGTACATGGCTCAGTACATCTGTGACCAGATTCACTTCTGTTATAGGCAGATGTAATTCTCGTTGTGCCTGATTCTCATTTTAAATCCTGATTAGCCTGGAGTGTCTTCTGCAGTGGTGTGAGATTCAAATCTGGCCACTGAATATTATAAAAGATTATTGTAGGGGGACATTTATCCTTAGAAATAATGCAATTCATGTTACAACACTCTTGTAGAGCCGTTGAATACAAAGTCACTGCAGTCATGGATTTTATTACTTTACCACCCTGACATCTCTTTTGTGACTTGCTTTTCTGTGGTGTTCGGTTAAATTATACTCCCTTGTGATCAGTGCAAAAGCAGATTGCTCTGCTTTAAACTTTTTTTTCTTTTTTTCTTAGAGGCTTTATGTGGTACACTTGCAGGTTTTGCTTTGTAATGTTTATAATCTTCCATGTTTTCTCAAGGTTGGGGAAAGTTTGCTCGTTTGACCCGTGCCCTCACAAGCAGCCGAGGTGTGCTGCAGCAGCTTGCTCCAAGCGTGCAGAAAGGAGAGAACGTTCACAAGCATTCGCGACTCGCTGAGGTAACGTTTTCTTTCCCTGAGAAACCGTAAAGAAGTGCACTTACCCTTTGTGAGTGCATCGTCTCTGTGTAAGCCGAGTCCTCTCCGTCGCCCTTTGCCCTGGAAATCCAAGGCCTGGTGTCAGGCACGGGAGCTCAGGGGTACGTCACCTGTGCTGTGCTGTGCTGTGTGTCCTGGGACAATGGAATGGAAATTCTTGTCCCAAAGGCCTTATGTAAACTAGTTGTAATTTTTGGGTTCCGTATGTCAACAACATCTTATAATGGTATAGCTATTAAAATAATACTTTTGACTTATTTTTTTCCTTTTTTTCTGGGATCTCAGCATTAGTAGGATCTTAGACTAATCACTTGTGTAAAATTGAGGTGAGAATACTATGGCTAATACAGAAGGAATTTCTGGAGGGTTGTTCTGATAGAGGCTGAAGGTGTTGGCAGGCTGAGAAAGCAGGAAGGAGCACGTGAAATCTGAAGAGCTGTATTTCAGAAGATGATGCACTGTTGAGTGCACATCTTTATTATCTTCTGCTCCCTCGTCCCCTGCTGTTACTCAGCCACTATAGATTAGATTTGCAAATTCTTCCAATATTAAAAATAGCTAAATGAACAGCTCCTTATACCTCGTTTTGCTCTTGGGAGAACGTGACTCAAGGTAATTAGAAGTGTGCTCCATGAGAACGTGTCCCAGTCCTTTCCTTTATTTACAGGTTTTGTTTTGTTTTTTTAGTAGGACCCCAACGAGTGTTACAAACTAGTTAAAATTTTTGTTTTAACTATTGCTTTTATGGACAGAACAGGTATAAGATGCCGTAAGCAGCACTGCAGACAATTTAGGAAAATTAAACGTTGTGACCTAAATAGAGTCAAAGTTTTGAGAGGAGGCTCCCTGAAGTGCTAGGGCTTTAGGGCTTTCACCACGAGGGGGAGAGGCAGTCTCAGGTTTCCCGCAGCTGTCTCCTGGGCCAGTAGCAGGGTATCCTTTGTGCAGAAATAGCTTAGAAAAAATCTTGCTGTGGTGCTAATGAGAGTACAGGCCAATATAATATGGCACTCCTGTATCACCTGTTGCTGTCAATGCCTTGACAACAGAGCAGCTGTGACTCTTGACAGTAGTTTGTAATGTTGCCATATAGCTGAAGCTGTAATCTGTTAATGGGCTCTGTGGGATCTCTGCAGAGTCAGTACTCTTGTTGTTCTTCCCCTGTATACATCTTGGTTTCTATGCAAGATAGACAGCTCCTGCCCAAGGCTGCGCTGCTATCACATGTGGCTGTGAAATGCCCATGGACAGGAGCTAACCTATTCCATATTTAATACAGATGCCCTCAAGAATGGAAAACTGATTTCTGTTGGGAGTATTTTGGCAAGAAGGCAGAAATAACTTCTTAGATCGTACTAGTGTAGGGGAGGGTCAGGCGTTCACATGGACACTATGCTGTAGGAATGCCACGTGATTATCGTGTTTTCACCCTGAGGTTTCTTTTTAGTGTCCTAGAATTTGGGGCACTCTCCTTTGTTTAACTCCCATAGTCTGCCCTGTTCTATGCATTCCTCTAAAACATTTAAGGTGTAGCAGCAAACAATCCTTCCTTCTCTTTAGATGTCTACCCATGAGTTTTGGTTCATGCAAGAATGTAGGCAGTAGAATGCAAGGCAAAGGCTCTGTCTGAGGTTATTCTTTTTGTCTCAGTAAACCTCAGTGTGGATCTAAGAGACTACACACTATTGAAACTTCTTGCTGGCTGATGTGTTCAACAAGCCTTTGCAAATAGTACAGCTCGTGGATTCATTACAAATAATAAAGGGCAACTATATAGTTTACATGTGTGGAATTGCAGTCATTATCTTAAAAAGAACATTAGCCCCAACTGTGATGTTACGTACCTCATTGTATATCTGCTGTAATTTTACTGAAGTCAATAGAACTGCACTGGAGAAAAGCAGAGTGCAGATAATCATACAGAGAAGCTCACTTCTCTTCCTTTGAAGATATACGGTTTGGCAGGCTTCTTATTCTAGAAAGAACTCTTGATAATATTCAAAGTGAGATATCTAAGTGTTCCCCATTGTATTTTCAAATCTTTTTTCTTTCTCTCTGCAGTAACCTATCTGAAGTCTTAAGTTCAAATTAAAATGCATCCTTTTACTTTTCTTACTCACTGTGGCATCTCATATCAATCTTGTTTGCCCCTGAAGGCTCTTCATTAATTGGGAGATCATTAATGTTGCTGTTATATTTTTGAAGAGCTGAGGAGCCAGCTCTATCCTAGAATCTGAGTGGGGCTAGGTGTTGTGCAAAAAAAAAAAACAAAAAAAAAGAGCCTGCCACAAAGGCTTACAATCTGTGCTATTATTTATGATAAATTAAAGAGAGGTGTTATGTTAGCGACAAACGACTTTATTTTATCGGCAGACTATGGATAGTACAAATAGCTTCTGTTTAAGCCTCAATCTCTGACTTTCACCAATTGGTGTAGATTTCTTTAGCCTCAGTTCCGTAATAGCAATCATACGGAAAGTGCTTAAATTCATTATACAATTAATGCAAGTGTGTGAGGAAACTGAAAGTACATTTGCAATGATAGTAAAAGTAATTGATAATGTTTTTGTGGCTTCATCTCTAAGGAGCTGATTGTAGGAACCATTCTTCCTGATCACTGCACAATGCATATGTCCTTTGCACTCACGAGATTGGCTGGTGCATTCTGTATCTTTACCAGGCAGTTCTGGAAAACAATGTCATAATTTAAAATTGCCATAGCTATGAGAAATAAAAGTAGAAAAATTATAATGGTGCTTACTAACACTGCTTAATAAAGGACATTCCACTATTCTTATTGTAAACCCTGTTTACCGGGGACTTACAACTGCCACTAAAATCTATTTCAAGTTGAGACTTAGCACCCAGCTCTTGGCCTGGGAACAATTTGTGTGGGTGCCTGTGAGAACAAAAGCAAAATAAGAGAAAGCAAACATATGCAATTGCATGCACAAAAGGGAGAGATTAAGCTGGAAAATAATGATTGGGTTTTTTTTTCCAGTCATGCAGGCCTAAAAATAAATAAATCATTATAACCACTTGTTGAAGTTATATACTATGAGTCCTGACTGGTGATGTAGTCACCATTTTTTTTTAAAAAATCTAGGATAAAAACTGTTTGTTTTATGTTAAGTTAAAAAATGAATGCAGCTAACCCATGATGAAATCTGTCATTTCTGCTCTTGAAATAGTATTTTCTGGCCTTAAAGAGCTGTTAAAGCATCATTCATCATTACCACAAATAATAATTGCTGATAATACAACAGTAGTGGCTGATGAATCATAAGTAATTGGAATAATACTTCCATTAATAACTTTCTGCAGCAAATATTTATTTTATTGTAGTATAACTGCACAGTGGGAAAAAATCTTCCAAAAACAGGGCTGTTTCAATTATTTAGAAAATGACAGTAATGAAATATTTTCTCATTGCTAATGGGTGGAAGTCTAGTATGCTGGTTTATTTAGTTGCTTACATTTTCTTAATAATTACTTTCATATGCATCTTTTGGGGTTTTTTCCTCTCCAGGAGGAGAAGTATCTTTAGAAGCAGTCTGAATCTACTTGGTTCATGTGGGTGGGTAAACACTCCTGGTCGCTTCAGCGAATCTTGTGTTTCAGGCTGGCGCTGTTTTCCCCAGAAGTTGGAGGAGTGCAGCAAAAGCACCTTGGAATAGGGCAGCAGGTACTTCTCTTTGCATCTACTTGGCTTTTCTGGATGGTGCAGAGAGAGTGGGGTTATAGTCCCTCATCCGCAGATTACCTGGGGGTGGTGTGCATGTCTAGGACGATGGTGAACAAATAGTCAGACTGTGTGGCCCTTGATGTGAAAAGGGGAGAAAAGACCCCTTCCAGCTTGCAGTGCAGCAATCTCACGAAATCAGGAGCTTTAGCACTAAGCTCTGTGGAGCTTCTTCAATTGCTTTTGCACAGCAGTGAACTCTCTTGTTGTACTTAATGATAAAGGCACACTGTTGTTATCTGAGAAAATTCAGTTTCATTAGAGGGTTTTTTTTTTTCCCTTTCCTTCAATCAAAAGGAGAATTTGGTGCCTTTGAAAGCCCCAGCCTGGTAGTCTTGGAGACTGCAAGACCTTTGCTAATCTGTAAATGAAATTGGCTTTCCAGGCAGAAGGAGTGTGAGCTGAGCCAGTGCTCTTCTTCCATCTCAGGCAGTGAAATGATAGTTCATCCTTGTGAGAGTGCCAGCAAGCCACTGGAGTGGTTTTACAAGGTGTGCATTAGTGAGGTAGTGAAAGGGAGCCAGAGCTACAACTTGTCAAGCCCTTCCCACCTGAACAAAAAATTGGAGACATGTCAGGCTTGCTTCAGGTAGTTTTCCCCACTGTGCAAGTGATTGCCATCCCTATGTCATTCCTGATTCCCATCTCCTGCCCTGCCCCTAACTCCCCTTTTGAGAATTGCACCCACACTGCTGGTGCACATCTATCCTTTAGAGACCAGGTGAAGCCAAGGCCACCTGTTTTTAGCTGCTGATCGAGCTTAACCAGAAACTCTGGGGTGGCAGGGAAGTTCAAAAGGTGGAAGAATATTAATGAAGTCTCTAACAATTCAGGTATTTTGGAGTACATTTACTTTCTAAATAAAAAGGGAAGGAGACATTGATTCTTTTATGTTTCTCTGCTGTAGCCTTTTGAATCTCAAACAAGCTAGGGGAGGAGTGCTTTGTACTTGATAATGACATTTTAAAACACTGAGGCAGCAAAGTTGTTTATTTTCTTAATGATTCAAAACCTGAAGTCTGTTTTTTCTGTGCATTCAGTTCAGTCTTACATCCATGCAGTTCCAGTAGCTTTACTGACATCTTTTCTGATTTACAGCAGAATAACTGATACCTTGATTTAGCTTCTTCCTTATTTGCTAAACAGAGATTGTTCTGCCTTTTGTTCCTACTATTCAGATATTTGAGAAAACATGAGTACATTTTTCTAGTAACTTTAGTTTGCAGGATGCAAAACTTCCACAAGTAGTCGGGTGACCAAAATGGAGTGCGTTTGACAATTCTTGCTCTAGAACTTAAGTTCCCATATGTGTAAGAAGAAATTATGGTTTCACCTTGTAAGAGATTATATAAATTTAAAGAGATTGTATGACCTCCCTGTAGTGACTAGATCTTAGCATTAGAACTAAAATCCAGTTAACTGACTCCAAAACATTACTCTGGGATGGAAAGCACTTGCTTTTGCTCATCAGTTATTTTACTGACTGAATATTGCACAGGATTCTCCTTGCTCAGTGGAGCAAATTTCAGGCTTAGGATCTTATGTTAGAATTGGTATTCACGCAAATCCTCCTTGTTGCCCAGTGCTTTCTAACTGATCCACATACAGCTGCTATGCTTAAAAGGGATGGCAGGAGCCATTTGCAATACTGCTCTTTTACTAAAGCTTTTGCCAAGAAAAGACATCCTAATATTTGTAGCTGAGACTCCAAATGAGCCCCGTAGGGAACATTGCTCTGTGTACATGTCCCATCTCAGTACACGACCTGTACGCCTCCCAGTCGCTATCAGTGACTGCGGGAGACTGCACCAGCTGGCACAGCCTCCATTCGGAGAAGAGATTGCTTCTGTCTTCTGCTGCTTCCAGCTCCTCTCACCACAAGGCAACTTCTTTTTGTAGCATGGAGAACATAGGTGAATCAGGTTCAGGAATGGCAGACTGCTTTCTACTGTGGTGGCCATATCTGAATCCTGGCTTGATCTGCCAGGATTCAGCATAGCATGCCTTTCCCTCGTTGCTTTGGCTCTTGAAACTCAGAAAAACAAAACTATTAAGTTTTCCTTTTTTTTCCCTAAAGTGTTGCTGTCCCTTTGTTAACCTGGAGATCTCTCTAAGCAGGTCATGCCAGTTTTCTTCTGGAGAACATACCGGGCTCAAAGTCAGCAGGCTTGTTTTTGCCTTGCGGCTCCCATCATCATTTACACACGTGCAAGGGACTGTGATCTGACAGTGTCTGACCCCTGTTGTGCACAAGAGTAAGTGATTATGTGAGGTTCAAAGAAGCAAGGAACTTGATCTAAGGCTGTTTTGTCCAAGTAGGACTCTTGTAGCTGATTGTTTTCCTTTGTCCCTTTTGACTTAATCTGTTGGAAAAAAGCCCACCAGTTCACAAAAAAGAATAATAAAAAAGCACTCAGAAAAGCCTGCAGATAGAAATCCGTGTCTAAATAATTGACATTAATAGGCTGAGATAAGAAACATGAAAGGAAGACATTCTCCTGTTATAGCTGTAATATCTGATCTTTTCCCAGAGATGGCAGCCATTTAATTTCCTTCCCTGCTTCCTATTGCTCTGAACTATGGTGAAAATAAATGTGAAAAAGGAACCATGATCTAAATGGTTTTTCAGAGTTCTGTGAGTTTGGGGTTAAGAAACACATCTCACTTGAGCAAACCTCCATCTTCTTTTCAGTTTTCACCAGGGTAAATTTAAAATTAAACTTATTTTTATTTTGAAACAAGTTCTTTTTCTGGTTTCATCTTCGTGTGTATCCACAGAGGTAAACAAAGAAAATCCTGTTCATAGGTATGTAAGAGGAACTCTAGTTCTGAAGATTTAGAGACGCGATGCTACTCTTTTTGTACGAGCGTGCAGTGTGGGGAGGATAGTAAACTTAAAATGAACACTGCTGATCAATGCAAAACTGTAATACTAATCAGCTTAACTGCTTATTTTCCTACTGGACCAGGCTGCAAAGAAAGTATTCTTAAACTAAGTATTATTTTAAGGTTCCATGCATAAAGAGTTCAAAGAATTAATGAGCTGTTAATAAAATCTTAGAGATGATTCCAGCAGTCCACTTGTTAACTGTATCTTATATTATCTATATGTGCTTGGCTTGAGATCCAGACTTTTAAGCACTTGCTTATAGATAATCTTTTGCTGTAGTGCTTTTTGAATTGAGATTTTACTGTACTGCAACTTAACTTTACATCAGATGTTGAAGACACTGATCTTCTCGCAGTGAAAATTTAAAGTTAAAAATGGGCATGGTTTTTTGAGGCTAATGATAGCTACCTCTGGGTTTTAGTCCTGCACTACACAGAGAACAGGAACAAAAGCCCATGCATTCATGATACATTACGGTGCAGAACTTGATTTCAGACATAGCATAGTGAAGAGTTAAATAGACAGTGGTGAAGAGTTAAATAGAAAGTGCTGAGAAGCAATGTGGTACATTGGTCCTGGGCTGGAAGTCAGAAGTTGTGGTATTGTTCCTGGTGTTGCTGCTCTCCCCCCTCCCCTCCCCCCCCAACTGTCTTCCTTCCCATCCTTTATCAGTTAGATTGTGGAAGGAGCTGTCTCTTCCCTGTATATCTTGGAGGCTCAGCACATTAGGCTTAGTGTCAAAAAAATAATGGCGTTAAAGAAAATAACTTTTCTGAGGTTGATGCTGGTTTATTTAAAAGAGTACTTATCCTGACTTGCTTACTGTTCGATGGCGTTAAAGGCAGTTAGTGGGCATGTGTTCTTATCACCTGTTGTGCTGAGTTCAAGAATCTACAATGTGCAAAATTACATTGAAAATTAAGCATGTTTCCGTTTTCTCCTGAAATCTCTGTCACTACAGGTACTGCAGCTGGGCTCTGAAATTCTCCCACAGTACAAACAAGAGGCACCAAAGACTCCACCGCATATAATTTTGCATTATTGTGTTTTCAAGACTACCTGGGACTGGATCATCCTGATCTTAACCTTCTACACTGCTATTTTGGTTCCTTACAATGTCTCCTTTAAAACCAAACAGAACAATGTGGCATGGCTAGTAGTGGACAGCATTGTAGATGTCATTTTTTTGGTAGACATTGTGCTTAATTTCCATACCACCTTTGTGGGGCCAGCAGGAGAGGTGATCTCTGACCCAAAGCTGATCCGCATGAATTACTTGAAGACTTGGTTTGTGATCGATCTACTCTCATGCTTGCCGTATGATGTCATCAATGCATTTGAGAACGTTGATGAGGTCAGTATACTAGTTCCGCTTCCACCCCTTGATTTTGTTTTTACTTAGTGTTTGGGTAAAAGGAAAGACAAGAAAGAAATGGGTGCTTTTAAATAGGTTGCGTTAGTGTATGCATGTCTCTAGCAGCAGGCCTCAGCACACATAGAAGTTTGCTGATAAATCCTAGCCAGAAGGGTCCATCTTTAGCTACATTGAGAGGAGCTGAGGTTTTTGGTGTCCGAAATTCATGTTTATTTTCCTTCAATTTATGTTCTTGGAGTTTGGGAGGACAGGCAGGAGCAGACAACAGAACGTGGGTACACTGCTGAGGAAAACTACTTAATCTAACTTACCGTGAGTAGCTTGAACTGGAGAGTAAAGACAGTTTCCTGGGGCAGGGTCCTCTCTTTTTCACTGAAGTTGAACAGGGTACATCCACTACTGGCAATCCTTCATACGAACAATGGGGAAGTACAATGTGCTTTTCTCAGCTGGGTTTAATGTGATATAGCAGGTGGCAAAGAGGCAGGCAGTGTGACCGACTAATTCTCCTTGGTCCCTCACGGAGTACTGCATGGAGATATCTGGTGATCAGTGCATCATTGTTTTGGGATTGTTTGTTTTAGAGGAAGATATAACATTTAAAGATGCTGTTTTGATGCTTGTTTGATAATTTCACATTTAGAAGAAAGGACGGGGGGAAATCTGGAAATCTAGACTCCTTATTCTTTCTTGCTCATTTCTTTGGGAACAAGTTACAAGCCAGCAAAAGAACTAACATTCGGACACTTAAAACCACCATACTACTCTGGCTTAACTGCTTATTTTCCTACTGGATCAGGCTGCAAAGAAAATATTTCTAAATTAAATATTACTTTAAGGTTCCATGCATGAAGAGTTCAAAGAGTTAATGAATTGTTAATAAAACCTTGGAGATAATTCCAGCAGTTCACTTAGTTATTAACTGAGTATTATATCATCTGTACCATAAACCCGTTATGTGTCTATATTTATGTGACGCATACTAAACCTGTAACATGTATACACAGCCCATCACTGCTTAGCGTTTCATATTTAGCCTGCAATATTTAATTTTTATGAGTTCCTTTAAAATATGACTACGTTATAAATAAGACCTACCTACCTCAGTCCTGAAATTAAGATATTAAAAGAAAAATATACACAGTGAAATGTCTGGGTAAAAACATAAAACCACATTATTTTTGTAAAAATATACCACACAGGTTGTTTATCTAACTAGATCCATTTAAAGCATTATTTTCCTCTTTGACTTAAGGATAAATAGGCAAACTTTTGGATGCGGTGGAACAAACATAATGTTATTTGATATTTAATTCCCTAGAGAGGCTTTCATTTTATATAAAGCTACGGACTGAAATAACACGAATGAGTTCATCTTTAAAAAAAAAAAAAAACCTTGTAAGGACCTGTCCTTAAATATTTGTTTGTCACAAAATGCACCCAGCCTGCAGGTTCCCATGCAGTGCTTTCACATTTTACTTTATTGTTGCACTGATAAAGCAGTAGGCACAGAGGTATGGCAATATCCAGCATTTAGACTGAAAGTTAAAAGAAAACAACTGCCGCACCCTCCACAGATAGGAGCAACCTGCTAATGATTTTGCTGGAGAGACGTTTCATAACTGCAGTCTGGTGATGTGACCTACAGGACATCTCTGAGGAATATATCTGTACCGGTGGCTGTGACACAGCCCTTGAGCTGAGCACAGACGCGCTTGGACTCGTGGTAGCGATTCTACAATTCTACAGAGAAATTAATTATATGCTAGCTTGAATTTCTCCAGGTTCTTAGTCTTCATGCTGCCTTGCTATGATGAGCAGCTGATTGGTACTTTAGTTTTCCTATGGCTCTTCAACAGTCTCTTTAATCAGTATAACAGTGTTAGTTTTAGTTATTCTAGCTATCATGCCCAAGGAAAAAAACATTCTTCTTCATGCTGTCCTTTCAAGACTGTTCCTCTTTTTTTCCTCTAGTGGGTTCTGACATTCAGCTGGTATAAATCATTGTAGGGTCGTTAGAGCAGAGTTTTCCACTGGTGTAAATTGCTGTACTTCTGTTAAGGGCTCATAGACTGGTTTACAGCACCTGAGGGGGTTTGCGAGCAGCTTCAGCAGAATAATGCAGTGCACATCAGGTGAGGATTTAGAACAGTATATGCTGATCACTGTTTCGTGAACTGCCTGTAGAGGAAAAGATAACCTTTTATTAAAGAAAAAAGCCACATTCAAAGAATCTTGAAGGTGGAAAAGCCTTAGCTTATACCTCATTCTCTGCTGTGTAGAGAACTCCCTTGTGGGCCAACTCCTTCTCTTTCAGACTTGCTGGCTTAGGTTTTACTTCTCTCTCACTCTGGACTCTGCACCGTATTAGTTCACAGCTGGGAATTTAAATTCCCAGCTTTAAATAAAAAAAAAATGCGTTAAGTTAGCTGCTGGGCTGCACTGCCCAATTAGAAGTGGAGTGGCCAAACTGAGTTGGTACCCGGGTGCTATTTTGATTTTACTAAAGGTAACTTCCGTGGAACCGTGAAACTGGAGCCAGTAGGTGGTCCTGGCTGTTGCAAGGACAGAGAATTTCACATTGAAAGTCTGGAATTTTTTTTTTTTTACTGCTTCCAGTAAATAGTCTTAAAAAATGCTAAATACTAAATGATGCTCAGTGTCAGCAATGGTCATAGAATGAGATAAAGACTCTAAATTATCATTTTCCTGTTTCAGTATTTTCCATACATCGTTTTAAGCAAGAGGAAATATAACCATGGCTTTGTTGTAGTCCCTATTGCAGAGGGAGATCAAAGCATCTGAAAACTGACTATTTTTTCTGCCTGCTGTCATTTTTTTGTAAAAGAACTGTCACTGAGGATGTTATGGAAGAGCTAACCTGAGAAGCCCATTTGTTCTTAAGAATGCCATAACTCCTGTGATGGATACAGTGGATTGATTTGCATGAGTTACAGGATCTGGAGCTGGTGAAGTAAAAAGCTGTGAGGATAGTGTGTTTCACAGACTTTTTGCCTCTTTGGAAAATATTGGGAATGTCCCATCACTTAGCTCTTGCAGCAGCTAGTTTAATAATGAAGTCATCTTTGTCTTCTTTAAGGTGTTCCAACACTAAGATTGGTAACAACATATGAAATGAGAGTTGCTTGATATTTTTTACAAGAAGTTGATTTAGAAAAATTCTGATTTCTTCATTTAGAATATTTTGATTTTTTTTTTCATTTTGAAGCAGTTTGTTATTTTGCGATTTATATTATTGTTCCGTTGTAAAATATAATGGAAAATATATTTTGAAACAAAATGAGTGTGACATCTGTTTGTCAGGCAGCTTCAGAATTCTTCGGGTTTGTTGCAATTTGGAACACTAGGATATTTTCAATTCTCACAGTTGTTTATATAATTCCAGTTGAAATTCCAGTTTCTTCTCTGCACTGTTGAGAATATTTTGTCCATGAAAATACTTTGGATTCATTAACTGTTAATCAGCGCAACTGTTATTCAACTACAATTAATACAAGAGGCACTCAAGTCTAATTAGCCATGTTCTATAGATGAGGAAAGAAAAAAAATTAATGTCTTTTTTCAAAGCTATAGATTTAAATATGCAAATGTTTGAATTTTGTACTCCCAGGTGCTGCTCATACAGACAGAATACAGTATCTCCTTTTCAGACACTAATAGAATTCAGCAAATGAAAAAAAAAAAAAAAAAGCTGTAGGGCAATTCCCATTGTTACCCAAATGAAAGAAGAGTTGTAAGTGCTTTTCCTGCCTTTTCTATATGGTGAGCTGATTATGCAGTTAAATACAAATTACGTTCTTGACCTGCTGTAGAACTCCTCAGAAAGAAAATATTACATTTATTGATGCATAAACATAGTGCTAGGCTAGTGCTAGGCTTAGACTTCCTGCCATTAAAACAATAGAACATGTTCTAGTTTAGTTTAAGATGAAAATATTGGCATAAAGTTTACACAGCCCTCATAAAGTCTCTGATATCAGTTTCTTTTGAATTTGAGTGATCACAATAACGTTTGTCAGTAATTTTTTACAGTAATAAGTATTTTTCCTCACTTAAGGAAATACCACCTACTTTTGGGGATAATGTTATCTTTCTGTGTTCAGACATCAATCAGTAGATTTAATAGAAAACAGGCTTAAAGAAAATTCCACGAGTTTTGCCAAGAACAATTCGGTTTAAGACCTTGAATTCCAAAGGCAAGTTGAAGCATATTTTTGCAGTGTCAGCTTGAGCAATTTTATACTGTGGTTTTCAGGCATAATACCATAAGATATAATTTATGTTGGAAAAAATTTGACTTATTACATGTGACACTCTTGTTGTGAAATCTCATGGCAGGAGTGGAATCTAGTCATGTCACCACCAAATAAATTTCTGGAATAGGGAGTCTATAATAAAAATTGCTATCTGTGTTTGAATGGAACAATATGATCAATTGTTGGCTGATACCAAATTGAAAACCATGTATCACTCTTATTAGTTGAGGTAGAAGAGAGATAAAAGCACAGTAAAAGATCATCAGGAAAGATGCATTCAGTATAAATGATCTAGTGTTCACTTAACTGTATGAATAGGAGAGAAGCTAGTATTTAGACAAAGAAGACATATAGCTTTCAAAGGTCAGAATTCATGGTGATGAAAAAGTCCCAGAAAAAGCACACTACACTAGTAATAGAAGAAAATTAAGCAATTTAGTGCTAAGTGAGCATGGCGTAGCTTGAAAGTAAACAGTGAGTTGTGCGAGAGGAAAACACAAATGTCTTGCTGGTCAGATGCTTGGCAACTTTGTGAGGCAGTTCTTTTGCAATAGATTAATTAGTGGAATAGTCTCTCATGCTAATGCAGATTAGTTCTCTAGGAATCACTGAAGTAGCTACACTGAAAAGCATGCAACTTTCCAAGCATTGTTGCATCATTTGCTTGCAATAAGGGGCAAGGGAATAAGTTATCATGATACT